ATATATATATATATATATATATATATATATACACATTGATTTTAAATTAAAATATAATTTTCTTCAACAATTAGCGGAGAAAATGAAATATTTATGTTATTATTATCCTTTAAATCTATACCTATCTAAGTTAGTATTCTATTATAACTTAAAATATTTCACTAATAGTTATGTACAAAATAACTCATTTCATAAAATATCATAAAACTCTATAACTATTTTAAACGTGCAATCTATTTTTTTTTTTTTTTATGAAATTCGATAGACAAAAATAGTCATCATATCATCATATCGCTCTTTTTATTATGGCTAGCGTAGACATAATATTTTTTTCAATGAAAGTTATTTTATTTAATTGTATTGTATATGATAATCAATTTGAATTACATAGATATAATCGATAAAAAAAAACAGGTAACGTGATTATGAAACGAAGAAAGGGACAAAGAAGGCCCGAGATGGATTAAAATAATATTATGCTTTCTTCATTTGTGTATTAAAAAAATCAACTTTAATTATTACATGTCTAAATTAGTATAATCATACTCTTTACATTATTTCTAATAATTGATGTGAAGTTAACTTTATTTAAATCATTATAATCTTTTCGTTTATGCATTTAAAAAAAATCCAGTTATCATTTATTTTTGAATAAAATACAAAACTCAAATCACATTATCGACAAACACTAGTCAATTAAGATTCATACGCAACTAAAGTGCTAACACAATAATCTTATCACACATTTAATGCTTAATATGACTGTGTTTTGTGTTCATCAAGTTTAATGCCCCTTAAAAAACTACTTAAACGATTTTATTTTGTCTTTCAAGCAAGCCCAATATAAGAATTTTGAACACTTAGGGCTTGTTTGGAGTTGGATCTGATTGGGTCAAGGTCTGACTAAGTAAGATGCATATCAGAGCTTCTAAATATAATATCAAAATTTCTTAATCTGACCAAGTCAGACATTGCTAGGGATGTAACTGATTTCGGAACAAGACCAGAATCGAAATAACCAAAGACCGATTAAGGAGTGACCAGGTAATCGAAAACCGGACCAAATTAAAAGCATATCAAGCAACCCCTTAAAATGATATCACACACTTTCAAAGGAGAGAGTGACATTAGTTTTATAGCTTTAAGTCGTTATCGAATATCGAGTTTAGATGGTTTGCTACGTTGAGTTTTGAGCCTTGATCTTAATTATGAGTCTATAAGTATTATAATAATTATTCATTTCAAGAATGACACATTTGTTTTCTAATAGATTCTATTAGATACTTAATAATGTCCCAGAAGTTACTAGAAATTATTAAAAATATTAATTACTTTTCATTTATTACCAACTTTTATTTAGTAAAATGTACATTTATAATTTTTATTAGGTATGTACAAACTTTGGCTCACATGGAAGAAACCAGGTAGAATTTGGCACCGAAGCTTTTGAAAGTTTTAGAGAGCTTTTAACTTTTAAATAAATGCTAAAAAACGAAAAAATTTGTTCGTTCTTTTTATTTTAAATAAAAAACTTAAAATCCAAAAACTACTTTAAACAAATTTTGGGAGCTTTTAGCTTTGATTTGTGTATAGTTTTACACTTTCAAAAGTTAACAGTACTTTTGTATAAATTACAATTTTTAGCTTTCAACTACTAGTTACCAGCTATTAGTTTTTAACTGTCAATTAGTTTTGTCAAACATATACTTAAGTAATCGAACTAAAATCAAATCAAAATGATTATATTTTGTCTGTTATCGATTATGAATACTATTATACATTCAAGATTCTTTAGAAATCAGTTACGATTCTCTCTAGTCCTATTCATAAAAGGAGTAATTTTTTTTTCAAGTAAAAGCAAACTTAAGTATGTATTTGGTTCTCAATCCGATTTAAAAATTGAACAAAATTTTTATCATAACCAAGTTGGTTTAGAATAATTTGGTTTCATGGTCTTCTATTTTTATTGTTTTGTTTCTATAAATTCCAATATGATATGAATCTAAACCGATACACACACCTATATTTTACATCGAACAAAAAAAATATAATAAAAAGTAGTGACGGAATCGGGACAAAGTCCAAGGTGTAGCACATATAATTTCGGGGTAACACGACGGAAAATTAACACTATGCCGAAAAAATTCTCAAAAAATTTACCTTATGCCTGGAAATTTAAGAGGTAACACATGTCACCCCTAAGGCTACACGGTGCACGACATACCGCACACCGCGATGGCTTACATGGCACTACAACAATGCGAGAAACACAACTCCGACTAGGGAGTTTTAGTGCGGTAAGCTTGTCGCACGGTGAGTTTTCACCGCGGAAGATTGAGTCGTTTAAGTGTGTGTGTGTTTTAGTGTCTTTTGGTGTGTGTAACTATTTACAAACGGTAATTTTTTTAATATTAACACACACACACACACATATATATATATATATATATATATATATATATATATATATATATATATATATATACACACCATATTCATTTTTATATGCATCTTTTTCAATTTCAACTATTAAACCTCTTTAAAATGAAAGTCCTTTGAATTTTGAAAAGGAGAAGTTGGAGGACAAAAAGAAAGCTAGAGAGAAGAAGCAAAGAAGTTTGGATATGAAATTTTTAACAAAACCCTTCGATTATCTCAGTGAAATCGAGCTCCATATGGTTTTCAAGGCTAGAGTGGACATTATGAAAAAAATATTATAAATAGTGTTTTTATTTGATTGTTGTTTTTTAGCTATGTAATCGTTCTTAATTAAATTAATGAAGTGTTTTTCTTTTTATTAATTTTATTAAACTACATTTTATCTAATTAAAAAAATACCAAAAGTATAGTAAAATGTGGTATGACACCCATAGTTTTGTGGGGTGAGAGAAAAATGAAGTGATATAAATGAAACATAAAAATTATTAAAAATATCAAAAGAAAATTCATTTAGAAATTATACACATATTTAGTAGCAAGAATCACTGAATCACATCAAAACAAAAAAGAAACTACGTAAATATATATGTAATGCAAATTGTTAATGAATTAAAATATGATAATACAAGTTGATAAAAAAATTCTAATTATCGTATAAATTAGTTAGAAATATATAAGTTTATTACATAAATAACAATTTGCGTTTTTTATAGAGATGAATGATCTGTCAATGTCCGTTACAGATGCGCGTGATCTCACGCGCTCCTTAACCAAACGAAAACTCACCAAATCCGGTTTCTGTGTATCCACTACTCTTTTGACATCCCTTCCACACCGAACCCAAACCCTCTTCAATTCCCCTTTGTATAATTGGCTTCACCAGCAATAACCCACTCTCTTTTATGAATCTGGATTGTGGCTTGAGAACCAGATCCTGCCGTGTCATTCAAGAGACTTCCATGGCTGTTGCTGCTTTAGAACTCGAAGATGACGCTGAAGAAATTGATGACGGTTTGAAACAGA